GGGCGCTTGATATACAAAAAATATGACACAAAGCGCCCACGCTTTTTTCACCATAATACTAGTATTTTTCGATCGTTATTGTTTTATTTAAAAACAATATTTCCAACTTTTCAGTTCGATGTTCTTATACAGCGTGTTTTTTAGTTATTTTAAACTATTTTTATTTATACCGAGTATGGTTTTCTAGGGTAAATGGAAATTCTGTTGACCGACACGCTTCTTCGAAAGCTCCACCTACACACCGTATTGAGACTGGGAAGTGTGTATAGATACGGAAATTTAACAAAATTTCTCACAGTTTCAGAGAATTTTCATAATGATCTTGAAGAAATACTTGACTAATCCAAGTACACGAATTGGAGGAGGCGAAGAAAAAATCGTAGAAACGAAATGTTAACTGTAATATTTTTTCCAAATCAGAAGTTTCTTGGCTGCTTGATAAGAACTAATTTCCAAAGGTACTAAAATGAGAGTGTTAGTCCAATTGATTGATTTGTTTTCTTCTACTGCATTACTACAGTTACGAGTACATCGGAGGTAACTTCAATGTTTTTGATTCTTATGAATTTTTTTCAATGGTTTCCATTTCGCATGATGAAATGATGATTTTGTTCCATTCTCATTTGAACTCATTTATTTTGTATCACACTGTATGTATTATATTGACACGAGTAACTTCGAGTATCGGGCGTGCGTGTGTGGTACCACAAAACGAGGAACTTATCGCCTCTCTACCAGTGTCTGAAAATCTGCCGGCGCATCTATATGCTCAACTCACCAAGGTATGTCATGAAAAAGTACAATACAGTGAAATTATTTCTAATATATCAGTAACCTTATTACATATAGTCTGCTAAAACCCCACCTATTTTTTGGTCCAATCCAACCGGGATTATTATTGGTAGTAATAGCATTGTTATTGGTTTTTTTCAAGTCATAAGTAAAAAATTCGTACTTCTCTCCATTTAAATTCGTATTTCTCCTTAGATACGAACGATCAACCCAGTTTTTGGCAATATTTCATTCACGTTTGGTTTTTTACCGGTGAATGTTTTGTTCAGGAAAAAAGTCGCTTTAATTCTCGATTCTCGCTGGTAAATGACTGAATAGATACTCATGGAATATTATCATAAATAATATAGTAGGTATATACTCTCTCGTTTATATAATCTCTATGATCTCTTACTCGCACATATTAAAATAATATTGTGTTTACATTATTCATCTCTCATATGAGTTTGAATTATTCTCTTTGAAAATAAATACACTTTTCTCATACTCATTACCCACATAGCAATAGATATTCCAGGTATATTTCATGAATATACATTTAAGGATATTGTATTATGCTAATATGCCATGGATATATATATCTTCTGTAGAATATTCCCTGGAAGTGCTCCTGGCGAACCTTTGATATATTTTAAGAATATTCCTTGGGAATATTCTTGGAATATCTTATAATATTCTTAGAATATCTAAGGTATATTCTATTGAGAATATTCCAGGAATAGAACCCGAGGAATATTCATAAAATATTCAGGATATTCTTAGTTTATTATAGGAATATACAATACAGAAACGCCATAGAATATTCTTTAAATATATTTTGTGAATATTCTAGGAATATTTGGAATATTCCAAGAATGTGACGAGTAACCGGTATTAGGCATGTATATATTGCATTTTGATACAAGATTCACACNTTCAAGGGAGAATAATCCATTTATAGACATTCTACGCACATTCTTTCGGGAATAATCCTGCCATATTCATTCAAGCATATTCTATGAATATTCTAAAGGCATGTATATATTCCAAGAATATTCTATGAATATTTGGAATATATACGTTCGTTTTATGATATACAGGGAATATTCCATGAATATCTGGTGCTGTGTGGGTTTCTGATAAATAACGTTTCAATTTTTTTTTTGGAGATATGAGGAGACAGAGTCTTTATATCGTTTGGCAGTAAATTATACATTCGAATGCCGGCAAATTTGGGAGATTTTTCATATTTTGCGTGATGGTGTTTTCGTGTTATGATCATATCTTTTCTTCTTATATTATAGCTATGCATCTCTGTTTTTGTTCGGAAAAGTTCATTTTCATGTACATATGTCAATGTTTTCAAAATGTACAGACTTGCAACTGTCAATATTTTATTTTGTTGGAATATATTTCTACATGAAGTTCTAAAGTCTAAATTAAATATCAACCTCAGAAGTGATTCTGATACTGATACATTTCTGATTGTGATTCAGGATTATATGTTTACTTTCAGTTGTTCTAGATGGTTGCTTGATTATACTCCAAAGAGTTTTGCTTTTATTGCTAGATTCATTTACTTTTTTCATTTAATGATTTATATTTTCCTGGCGAATTTCAATTTCTACGCTTTTCTTTGCTGTTTTATAAGCAGTCTTTAGTGTCGGAGTTCTCGTGTTTTTTCAGATAATTCATGTACAAATATTTCAAAGAATCAAGTCGAATACGAGTTAGTTCCGCACGAATTCTAGGCAATTTTACATGACATGTGGAAACATTGTCTGAATAGAGTGAAGCGTATAAGATTTCTTCTTCTCAGTACTTTGGAATGCATTTCAGAATTAGCATCTGCCCATCAATACGATTATTTCTGAAGTAATTGCTGAATGAAAGTGATCAGTGTCCTCACCAAATTTGGAAATTTCAAATTTAAAGTTGAAATTGAGATATAACAGCAGTTTAATAATATTTTGAGGAAGAAATGGCAGAAGAATTTGAATCGAGGTGTTTCTATGAACTTATACAAGAACTGGAAAGCAAACAAGACGATACAAACCTCTTTAAGATATTAACCGCTATTGAAAGCCGTATAATGTGCAACTCATACGAAAAGTTTGAGTTTATACACAATAATTGCTTGGAATACGTACTGAAGGCGTTAGAAACGAATGGGAAGAATATAATCTACGTTTCGTTGAGCATTATAGAGGATACTCGTCCTCCCAGATTTTCAGTAAGTACCCGTTTTATTAACCTTTTTTGAACTATGTAGCAAATTTTAAAATGAAAATCGGGTGAAATGGCTGAAAAATAGTTTGAAGTGAATGATTTAATGATACATATTCAAAAAACTATTTTACATATTATCTGTCAAGTGCGGAATTCAAATATATTATTCCAGTAGATTAAAAAAATTAATAGTAGGTGTCAGTATGCGACTTTAATCAGGGTGGTCATTTCTTTTGGTATTTTGATAATTACTGTGAAATAGTCGACTCTGAACCTCATGTGTTCCTCTCACAATTTGCTTTACAAATACATAAATCAATATTACAATTTGCTAAACGCATTGAAGACGCTGTTTTCCTGTATGAATGAACAAACAACAGTGTTGAGATTGTGTTTCATTAATGAAGGGATTACAAAAAAATACATTTACTCAATATTTTTAACGGTTTCTTTTGTATGAATGCCTGCATTTGCATTCGTTCCACAAAATGTTAATTTCATTAATTTTTTTTATTATTCTATTCATAATCTGAAGGAAGTATCATGTATTGAAGAGCCGTTTTATGTTTCAAACAGAAAGAATAACTCATCACTCCTGCTTGAGGAAGCTCCTATACAGTGAAACACGTATCGGGCGGTTTTGCAAACGGTTAGTTATATTAGAAAATTTTAATAATGATATTCAGCAAGAATCTGCCATTTCATTCGGTGATATTGAGTCTTTCATAAACATTATTTAACATATTGGCTACTTGAATTTGTTCACATTTTACTTTACCAAAATACTTTATTAGGTTAGTTTTTGGAAACTAAAACTTTCAAAATCGTATTTTTGAAATGATTGCATTATACAGGCTGATTCACGGTGGATTGCACATTAGACGTTTCTGGTGAACCAGACAACGGATCACTTTGAAAATTTAATGGAGGGCATATTCGGACATTCTCTAGCCAACTAAAATATTTTCGACAATGCGGTGTTGCCGCTTCTATTAGAAAGCAGTAGCAACTTTGATTTTTCAAATG